TGCAACTACGGCAGTCCTCTTCAGTCGCGTGGTTGAAGTACTCCTCTTGACGTATCAATCCGGAAAACAACCAAAACATAGGTTTGAGAGTGTCTCAATTAAACACTACTGTTCTGCTGCATTTATGGCCTTAGAGAAAAATGATACTTAGTTTTTGTAAACATTTTATCCCACTTAATTTCTGTCACCCTGAGCTATCTATAGATATAAAACTTTTTGTAGGTGAAGAATGCATTAGCAGCTGATGTTGGAAAGAAGTCATATGTGCCTTCAGTTGAAATATTGAATCGACTGGTCTTTGAGGTTTGGAGCAATATGGATCCCTGGGGAACAACAGTGTTGATGGTGAAGATATTCGAGAGAAAACGCAATCAATGGTTACTCGTAAGGAACGGCTTTGAGGAATCAGGAGAGGTTCCGAATATCATCGATCGATGATCGCTTACGAAATTAAACCATTCATAGGATCTGAAATGCTTGAGAAAATCAAAGATATTAGTTTGTTGTGTGGAAAAATGTTGTTGGTGTGTGAAATAAAAACTATAACTAGGTATTATTTATTTATATGACAGTTATGAAAGTCGGTTGAAAAATGTGTTACATACAGATACCAAATGAAAATTTCCAAGATTTTTTCAGAACTACTGTTGATTATTTGATTAGTTTTGAATTATTTATTTTCTTGATCTTATTACCGTTGAATTATTGTTGTTATGGTGTTGTTGACAAAGGGGAAGTTTTTATGTAAATTTAACAGTGTCAATAAAATAATTGTCCTGACGAAAAGTGGATATTTTTTGGCACGAAAGTTTGATATGAAATAACAACTACTTTGAAGAAAGGCTATGATCTATGATCATGACTGGTTTTACATATGCTCATGAATAATCATAGTTATCAGGAAGAAATTAGGTGAAATAAGAGTCGTATATTATTGGAGTTATTCGAAATATTTGGAAGGGTCCGATTTTGAATAATTCGAAAGGGTTATTTATTTTTTCAGGAGATATCAATTTTTGGGAAAAAAATGTAGAAATCTTCCAAGAAAATCTGTTTAAAATCTGTTTTTCCATTAACCAGCTGTCGCATGAACGACACCCTCAGAAGTCGAAACTTGTGCGAGCTAAGGACTAATGAGGTCTTACCTTCTACCGTGTGATTCCTAAGAAGGGTTGGACGATAGCAAGTGAAAATCGATCGTTCAGCCTGGGGCTTGGACACCGACTAACACGGCGGTGGATTTGAGTGAGTGAATAAAGCACCCACGTCGAACCGCCTGGCTACCGACCGAAGTAAGGAAGAAAGCAATTTGTTTAAAAATAAAGTCAAAATAAACAAAGATGTGTAGATCATGCAAACACAAACTGGAAGAAAATTTGCTGTCAGCTATCAGAAGGCAATAAGTTCCAACGTTCACTAGTCAATCAAATTTTCATTCATTTTTAGCTACACTAATGTTGACTTGTTGACTTTTTGTATTTCTATCCTCCTATCATACTAGTTTGTCGATTTATGTAATAGATACTCGATTATGATTCTTATTATTCAGAATTATGATGTATATATTCATTCATTGATGACTTCAGGTTGTTATTGCTAGGGTCATTCTCAATAATACTGCAAGAGTGGGGAAATCTACAGACAAACATTTCTACAAACGTGTTTGAAAATTTTCGAATAACAATAACAAATTTGTTTATTGGCACCTGCAACAATTCTTTAAATAAGTAACATTTAACTTTGAGGGACAGTGACGTAGCAACAAAGTTTTTGTTCGAATCTGGTTGAGAACGAGTTCTTTATTTTCATCAATACCATAAAATTACTTAGAGATAGATCAGAATCTAAATCTGGACATGTGAAAGAAATAATGTCTTTTCTTACGTTTATGTGGTATAAATGATATGCTTCATCAAACTACTGAGGTGGGAACGCCAGAAGCTTCAAAAGTTTTTTCAACTGTCGGGACAGAGGGTGATGGGTGAATTATTAATTAATCGGACGCAGCGTTTACAAATAATAAAATTTTATTAACAACACCAACAAAACGAACAAATAGAAAATAGTGAAACCTCGTGGCGAGGAGAATAAAAATTAGGAATAGCCCAACCGAAATCCCAGAACAGAATGACTCAATGCCTCGGTTTAAAAAATAAAATGAATGAAAGGAATTCACATAAAGAAACCCAAGCGGATGGATATTTTATCCGACTGCTCGATAATAGTTATGAAAAGTTAATTTTCTAACAAAAAATTATAATAAAAAATCAAAAATCAATAACGAAATAAAATGTCTCTTAGGAACATAGTTGTAGGAAAAGCCCTACACAACAAAACATACTAATGACAAAAGTGATTAGTATAGAATTCCGTAAAAATATTAACTTATTAAATACTGAAAGTATTTGTTGCTTTTGTGCAAAACCATGTGTTAGTTTGAAAATGTCCTTATAGGGAAAACCTGCAGTAACAACCAATCCAGAAATGTACACAGTCACCGTACGGTATCCATTGGGATCTTCTGACCACAAACTCCTTTCAGTGTTGAGTGTATATATGCGTATTGCATTTGTAGCATCTGACTTTGTATTCAGTTTTATTTGAATTTTAAGGGTTCATTAAACATAAACCTGGGTACAATTGCATCACTGTTGCATCACGTACAGGTCCAGAGGGGTCAGATCCGTAATTAATTCCATTGCCACGGTTGGTGTTGTTCTCATGACTTCTGTGATGTTTAAACAATATAGTCGCTGTATTTGATATAATTTTTGGATAGCCGTTGCTTGTAGAACTTTCGGCCCCCATGCGTACGTTAACATAGGTCTTATTATTGCAGTGTAGATCCAGGTGACAACACGGGGTGAAAGACCCCATGCGCGTCCCACAGTCCTCCGAAATTGCTCATAGGCCACATATGCTCCTTTTGCTCTACTCTGTAGGTGAGAGTTCCATGTTAACTTTCTATCGATTATAGTACCAAGGTGTTTCACCTCTTCAGAGAAGTTTAGTTTGCTTGCGAAGATTTTGGGAGGTTTTAAGCCCGATAAACTTCTCTTCCTGGTGAAAAGGACCATCTCAGTCTTCTTGGGATTGATCAAGAGTGAGTGTTCCTTATACCCTGTTTCTATCAATTTGAGCCCATCCTGCACTCTATCGCACAGTGTGTTCACAAATTTGCCGGTCTGCAAAATAACTATGTCATCTGCATACGCAATTGTGTAGAATCAATTATTGTTGAGGTGATTAATCAGGGTATCCAGAACTATGTTCCGGAGAAAGGGTGATAAGACTCCTCCCTTGGACATCCCCTCATGACCAGTCCTCTCACTGTAATGTCTTCTACATTGATACTTATTGCTCTACTAGAGAGCATCTTGAGTATCCATTCTCCTACTACCAGGGCTACATTCCTGGAGTGTAGTTGCTGTGTAATGATCACTCGATTCTGTCAACCACATGCTGATGGGCCGAATCAGTAGACCTTCACGGAGTATATGCATGCTGATTAAGTGGGTTGTGCACTAGTAGGTACTTCATCTCTTATGTACCGCTCACATAGCCTCTCCATAGTTTTTCATAAAAACGATGTGTGACTAATTGGTTGGAATGCTTTTGGTAAGGTGTAGTCCATCCTACTTGGTTTGAATATAAATACTACTCATACTTCTCTCCACTTACTGGAAATATACCTCAGAGCTAGAGAGACTCTGAATATCCCAACCAGGTGCGGCATAAGAATATCCAGTCCCCATTGAAGTAGGGCTGGCCTTATACCGTCAGGTACTGGTGACTTGAAGGGGGAAAAGGCCGATATGGCCCATCTTATTTTGTCCCTCGTCAATAACTGCACTAGCAGATTGCCAGTCGTATTGTGAGGGTGTTGTTGGTACTTCCGTCCAGTTTGTCTTTCCAAGAAAGACAGAACCTGGGAAATGAGTTTCCATAGGAATCTCAGCACTCTCTCTATTACATAGAGTTATTGGAGCGTTTGAAGGAAGAAATATCGGAAAAACGGACCCACTTCAAGAGAAATATAGTGCTGTTTCATCAATACAATGGACCGTGTCACAAATCGATGAAACCGATGGCATAATTGCATGAATGGGGCTTCGAAATGCTTCCGCATCCACCGTATTCTCTAGATCTGCCCCCCAGCAACTTTTTCTGTTCTCAGACCTCAAGAGAATACTCGTTGGAAAGTAATTCAGCGCCGATGAAGAGGTAATCGTCGAAACTAGGGGCTATTTTGAGGCTAAAGGCAAATCGTACTATGAAAATCTTTGTATCACCCTCGAAGGAAACTATATTGAATAATTAAATCAAATTTCATCAAAAAAACTTTTTTCTATGTTAGCCTATGAGCTTTTATGCCTAACTGTTACGAATATACAATTCTCTCCGAGCGATTTTAAGGGATGCAATGATTTAATCGCCCATTCAACTGCCAGTGCTGTGATAACTTTCTTGGTGGCCCTTTGGACGCTTGGCGCCCTTAAAGAGAAGAGGTTGATTGTTTATAAGTACTGTTATCTAATTTTTCCGCAAGGTCCTAAACCACTTGCGATTCAATTAACAAAATAGAGACGATCGTGTGCGGTTTGCGTTTCACGTTCCAGACACCCAAACAACAATAATTAGACGACAAAATTGGCATCGTTCACCAACCGAAATCCTGACCGATCTCAACTTGAAGAAAATTCGTTATCTGTATCCCTGTCATTCGCTTTTCCTCTCCTGGCGATAACGAAAAACCTAATTGAATGAACATTTCCAAGGATGATTAGTCGACCGATAAAAAAATCTTATCACCGCACTCAAAAGCACAATAAAGCATTGAAAATAACTTAAAAACAACGCGCCGAGATCGAAAGACCGCAGTGCTTCGCCTCCACGTGCCTCTTTACACGAGTCAAACCCAGTAGGCTATGCCCGCTGACCTGGAGGGGAGCGCGGGCGGCGTATCCGTCGATGTTCGGCTGCCGTCGAGCAGGCCGAACAAGAGGAGGTAAACATTTTAGTTTGATTTTGGCTCATGCAAAAGGTGGTCTGAAAAATAATACCCCTGGCAAAAATTTTTGCAATACCAAAAGTCGACTTACAATTCGTCAAGTCAATATCGGAACTCAATTCTGTAGTGATTGTACGTAAACTTTAATTGAATCGCTAGTTATTATGAACAGTTGAACAACATCTGTGTCCTACGACAATATAAAAGTTGTAAGTATATCTTTTGATGTGACACACTTTTTTTAAAGTTTGTTCGGAGGTAGCTGGGGCCACTTTAGGCAATACTAGGCTACTTTGTTGTATACCTAATTAATTGCATAATTATTGTATAATTAATAGTTGCATAAATAACTGATTTCTCAACAGAAGAATGACTTTTACCAAATGTTGGACTTTTATTTTTCTGGTGACTTTTTCTTTGAGCAATTTTTTGCACAGAGAAGATTTGAATTCACCGAAGGAAGTACTAATGATCAAATAAAACCGCGTTTCGATTTTCAAAACCTAATTCATACATATTCAGCAATCATCTGAATATTTATACATTTTCGAACAGGAACTTCAGTGACATCTTCAACACGTAACACTTCCTAATGTTTTTTGAGTTTATAACCAAAACAAATTTTTGAATGTCACTTATAAGTGGATTGTTCTAAAAAAGTCGTTGATCCTTCGAAATTACTCGTATCATTCTCTAATCTTTTTTGGGTACCTAGTATCTATTTTGACCTAAATTTGATAACTTCCAACAATTTGCTGTTATCTGAATATTTTCCTTGTCTATTAACCATATCTCTTTGAAGAATATATAGATACTTCAATTATAACTGACCAACTAGATGTACATTCTCCAACGGACCAAGCATAGGTCCCTGAGGTACACCAAGTTCAAAAAATTAAACGGATTGTGAACCATTATAAGAGCCGATAACTTGGAAGACTGTCACGTCGCTCATTATTTACTGGAAAACTAATTACAGAAACATTACCACAAAAATCTGACCTGTCAGATTGACAAATTATTGAAACTTATATACTATTTCAGTTTACTTTAATGTTTTCACTCTAAACGGCTTACAAAACCGCGATACATACTTCTACATAGCATTATGAGAGATTTAAAAAACTTTATCTTATAGAAACTATGTGATTAAGTTTTTATTCGAAATTTCATCAATTATCGGCCAGTTCCATACAATTTGACAAATCATGAATCTAAATAAACGAATGGAACAATAAGAAACTCAAAATGTCGTATAGAAAAGGAGGATAAACGCATAGAATATAAAGATTTTTCCTCCAATCTCCAAAGACTAACTATGAAGACTTCCCTCTCTGTTAAAATCGTTGTCCTGGTTATTTCAGTCCTTGATGGATTAATATCCTCCGAATGTGTGAAGTTAAGCCATACTACGGCAGAAAACTTGGTCAGACAAATGCAGAAGAATATCGTTTCAAGGATCTATAAAAACTATCGAGAATCAAAGGGAAATGGATGTCACAAGTGAAAAAAATTGAGTCAACTATTTCAACATAGAAAGAGAAGAGTAGGAGGTCATACAAAAATGATGATGTAAGACCTGAGAATATTCGATAGATGGAAAATAAAACGAACAAATAGGTATGGATTGTACCCAAGGAAATAATAAAGTACCGATAAACTGGTAGAAGAGTTGTTCGTCACATTCATACATTTGAAGAGCACTAATGACTCGGTGGAAATAAATTATATTTGAACAAAAGGAAAATACTGTTGTACTAAGAAAATTGACAGAAGTCTTATGTAAAAGATTGACAGCAAAGGTAAGAAGAAAAAAGGTGAAAAAGAGATGTCCACTGCTGTTCAGAATAATAATGTACAGAACAATAAAAATACGATTAAAAGATAGTGAATCTTGGAATCGATAGAGCGAGTGGTTTTAATTTATGCAGGTGTTATAGTTATAGAAGGTGTTATCGAACCTGTGATTGAAGGAGCCAAGGAAATTAATAAAAATAAATGAAAAATGGAATGGAAATGAAACGTATGACGAAATGAAACTATTGAAGAAGAAATCCAATTTGGCTTTCACTCCCCAGAAATAAAAAAAAAATTGAAAATAAATCATCCATGAAGGGCAAATTATTAAATTTGACCAGAAACTTTACAACATTTGCATCAAATTTTCTTCAAAAATGGAATTGAGTGCTCAAAAAACATTTGAAATGTTGACAGTGGCATACGGTGATTGTATCATGTCGTTAAATGACGTCAATGGCGATCCGGATTTGCTTAAAAGGAATGTAACTGGTGACGAATATTGGGTATATGGTTATGACATGGAAACCAAAGTCAAATCGTCCCAATGGTAGAGCCCAGGAACTCACTGTTTTCTTCGATTACCGTGATGTAGTGCATCAAGAGTTCTTGTCACTTGGTCAATAAGTTATGCGCCGCTTGCGAGAAGCAATACAAGAAACGTCCGATATTGTGAGTTTTGTATCTCGATAAATGCACCTCCTTACTCGTCATTGCTTGTTCGTAATTTTTTAGACAAAAACAACATCGCATTCGTGCCTCAGCCACCGTATTCACCAGATTTGGTCCTCTACAACTTTTTCTTGTTCCCAAGATTGAAAAGACCCATAAAAGGACGGCGTTTCGCAACGATTCAGGAGATAAAAACCAAATTGCTGAGCGCTCAAGGACATACTAAAAAGTGCATATCAGACCTTCTTTAAGAATTGGAAAAATCGCCGGCACAAGTCTATTATGTCTGAGGGTAACTACTTTGGAAAAGACAAAATAGAAATCGACGAATGAAGAAATATTTTTTTAGAAAAATTAAAATTCACATTATTTTTTCAACAGTTCTCGTATGTGAGCAAAGCTTCACAAAGTATTGAAATTAGCAGAGGCATGTTCAACTGTCCAGTTTGAAATCTTGTTTCCGAAAAGATGCTTTTGCTTTTCCATTAATGTAATTGTGTTTAGTCATATTACCATCGAATTGGACATTATTATTCGATGATACGGACAACGTCGTGTCCCCTGGCGATGGTATGTATGATTCTGGTACATTCACCTTCTCATCATGTACCGGAAACTCGATAAGTACAAACATCTTCCCTTTGTTGCTACGATAACTGATAAATCTCGTTCTGCATAAATAATATTGAAAATTCCCACCAGGGCTCACATTTATCACTTATTGTTTATTTTTCACGATTCAGTATCATTGGACAATGAATTCGACCAATCACAGGGGAGTGGCCGACATATGCAGCCACAAATGTCAATCGGAGACCCCTTTATAGTTTACAATAACCTTGGCTTTGACATAATTTTTTTGTACTGGCATTTCTTGCTAAAAAACTGTCAAACTTTTATTGTGTCATTGACAGTTGTATTGGTTATGTGCTTCTGTTATGGAACATAATACTGGATCCTAGTTATTATTTGTCTACTTCTTTTTCGTTATTAAGATGATGTCGCATCGAAACAAAAGCATATTTCAATTGAATAGAGACTGAATGCTCACAAATCGCTCACTTGCCAGTCCTTCCATTTCTACCCCGCGGCAAAAATGCCCAAAAATATGATCGTTTCACCCCCATTGACGTCACTGGTCATAATAAACCTCGAAATTTCCATCCATGCTTCTCCACAGTCGTCGCAACCAAAACACCACCGCCCATCATCTCGAAACCGGCATATTCATGACGAACGCAATCCATTTACCATCAACAACAATAATTATCTTGAGAGCCGCTGCAAATAAAATGGCACAGTTACGGGCGGTGGGCGAGGGAGGTGCGCGGCGGCGGGGTGCCGATTCGCCGCGACCTACGTCTTTGCGAGTTGTCGAGGTCGGTGATCGGCGTAAAAAAGCCGAGCGGAACTCCACGTGGAGGCGAATGACTAGGGACGGCCGCTCGTGTACGCTCAATGGCGGCGGGCTATCGGGCCGAGGTCGGCACTTCGAAATCACGCAGTGCTTCGCCTCGATGCACCTTCTCCTCGTGTAGCTTGTTTTCGAGTTGGTACTGGCGATAGCGACGTTGCCGCGCGTTAGGCAATCGAGGTAGGTTTGGGGAAAAGCTTTGTGGTTCGGAGTATTGATGTGAATTGGAAAGAATTTCAACGGTTTTTATTTCTGTAAGCTGCGAACGCTTTTTTTGGCTTTGGCCGCCAAAAAGCTTTTTTTAAAATACAAGTTTTTGATTTTTCTTCATTTAGAGATTTGGGTAGTTCCAGAAATGCCTATCAGTTTTTTGAATCTCTTCTATCCATAAGTATACACTGAACTCTTATTTTCCTACTGTTTTTTGGGCATATAACCTCCACAATCTTAAAAATAAACAAAGCTAAATCAATAGAGAATCTGCCGAACTTGTATATGTGTATAAGCTCTTAACAAGATTTTATTTTCTCCAATGTTTAATTGCATCTTTCCAGTTATTTTGTTCAATCAAATAACTCAGATATCAAACAAATACAGAAATCAATAATTTTGTTACTTTTTTCAACAATTCAACATCAATTGACATTTGAATTTATCAAAGATATTGACTCGTTAAAAAGAATCATTTGGTACTAACCGTATATTCATATCACAGAGCTATGTAAGGCTATCGATCTTCAATTGATTTAATTAGTTGTCAGTTGTCAAATCACTTCCATTCGTCATTTGTGAAAATTTCAAACGAATGAAAAGTTATTTTTGAAGAGATATTTTTATGGACACCAAGATACAATATGGAAAATAAACGAATGTGAATCAACAGATAATCTGCTTGAGTGTACTGAAGGACATCCCTAAAAATTACTGCGTTATATAAATGTATGAAAGAAAAATCCAATTGGTCATTAATTTATATTTTTCTTTTATCGTGTGTTAAAAGGAAAGTAGAAATTTTCCAGTGTGCCCTTTATTGCCTAATAATTTAGCTGTGTTAATTAGGATATAAAAAAGGTTATTTTGCAATACATATTGCTTATGCATTGTAGGTTTACCTCTTAAACTTGTTAATGTATTTGATTTCAATTCCCCTTCAGGATATTACTGTTTCAAATTTTATTTTTTGATCTTAACATTTTCAGGTATATCAAATTTTTATTTCCAGAACATTTAATTTAGTTTTACATTTTATTACTCATAAAGTAGAAAGTTTTGACAGGGTACATATATGATATTCTCGCGTATTCATCTGCTATCTGCCTTTCTACG